ATAAACTAAAAGCTGGATTTGTCTATTTCATCATGCATATTCTTTTCATCAAGTATTAGATTCACAAAGAATAATATGTATTAGGATAATTCATTTTAACTCTATTGAATACTTAAACTTTTGGAACAGTTTGTCAATTGGTATTCAAAAACTCGTTAATAATTCTCATGAATTAAAAGAACAAAGAAAATCACTGCCGTGTTGGTGGTTTATATATATATGTGATAAAAAATCATGTTCATTTACATGTACTGATCAGATGGGTCGATTTTTAAGCCATTTAAAACGCTCGCAGCTTGCAAAGCCTTCCTGCTCTTGTTTTAAATAGTACATGAATTTTCACCGAATAATTCCATCTCAAGACTTTCAAGACTTTTGAATCAAGAGTTATATGAATCTCTTTACCAACAACCTAGAATCGTTTAGGGTTATAAATCGTATTTATATCAATGATAGCCTAAATGTATAAGAAGGGCTCTTTTACTGAATATAGGAAGGCAAAAAAGAATACATTTTATTTGGTCCAAGAGACAGGTCAGACAGTTCCCAACTCCAAAAGGGAAGCTTATTAGACCAAAAGAATGCATTATAGAGAGAGGAGGGCTAAATGTTATTATAGAGGGGAGAGGAAATTTGAGAGGAAAACCTATTAGAGAGGGAAGTAATTATTAGAGGGAGGAGGGTTTAAAGAGACTTCTACAAAAAGATGCCTACCAGAATGACATGCTTCAAACTGTTTAAACAAAATTCTGACTATTGTTTTGATAGATGTCGATAAAGGTTAATTGTGGTTCATCTGTAAATCATCAAGACATAAATACATACGTAAACAGATGCTCATGCTACAACTGCAGAAGGGTGATGCAAAAGGCACGTTTGATTGTCACCGAGGTTGAATCTTGGGCTCGTAAGAATTTCGAGATCACGTGTTATTGCGATCATTTTTCTGTTGTTTTGCACTCTGGTTCTCGGGATCACCACGTCGTGGTTCAACTGTACGAAGGAGAATTACGCGTAAACACAAGTATCAAAAGTTGGACCGAGTGCATCAAGACGGTGGTTCGACGTAACCTGAGCAACTTCATGGATACTGTTCTCTCGATTCCGGGAGTGTTCACTGGATTGCTGAAACGTCTTACTGATTTTGCGTTAAAAGCTCTTACTGAAAATGAACATGAAAAAAGCTCTAAATGTAAATGAACATGGCTTTTAACCTAACGCACTTTACTTGAAAATGCCTGGTTGCCTTTATTTTTTGTTTCAAGAAACGTTTACTTATAGTACAATAAATATGAACCAAAAATAAAAAGTATAAAAGCCAGAATATTGGTTACTGTTGCCATAACAACAGTAGTCACGTCATTTTTGTGACCGTTTTTCATGGGAAAACGTTAGTTCGCTGACCTCAGAATGACATTCCGTCAAAACGTTTTTCTTCATGCAAGATTGGTTTAGAAACAAACTTGGAGTAGGGTTAGGTTCGGGTTAAGATGATGGTTTGAGGTGTTTGGAATATGGCTAGTGTTAGTAAAACCGTTGCTTTGTTACGTTTTGTCACTCTGAGGCCAGCGAAATAATCTCTTCCAATTTTCAACTGTTTGATTGTTGTTCTTTATATATAGTATCAATCTCGTTCCCCGAGCCTGCGATCCTCGGGAAGGAACGCGAGGCTCTGGGATAATCCGTTGCCGGAAACCAAGAATTCTGGCTAAGATTGAAGTACACATTCCATTTCAATGGCCAATCAGATTCCTCCCTGAAACGGATTATCCCATCCAGAGCCTCGCGTTCCTTCCCGAGGATCGCAGGCTCGGGGAACTGGATTGATATATGGTATACAATGTTCGATTTTTAGGGACCAGTCATTATTTATCGAGGGCGGTGGGTAGGTAAATAAATAATCTTACTCAACCAAAAACATTTGACCCCCCTAAAGATCTTCAAATTTCTAGTGACCCTCCCCTATTTACATATGTATTTTTCTATAATTAGCCCCCTCCCCCCTCCTTCCTAGATCAATAATTCAGTGCATACTGTTTGTTTTATAGTAATAGTAATAGCAGAGTCAAAACGTGAATAAATAATTACAGTATTTACAATAACAATCATGACAAATTAGATCACTGTACATTAGTCCTCATGAACATAGCGTGTCGATCAGTGTCCAGCTACACGTCCACTAAGCAAGGATAGCCTAAACAGGACTCGAAGCACAGAAAAAACTTTTTTGGCTGCACGTGAAATAAATTTTAGAACTGCCAAAATGGCGATTTCTCATATGAGTCATGTTGTAAAAATCAATGTTTTCATGATATGCATTTTTACTATTTTTAAACTTGTCTATTTTACTGGAGTAAACTTGGATTTATATTTCAAATATAAACGTATTTAGTTAACTAAATGAAAAGAAATACATCTATGGAATTTCACCTGCTATTTTTTTTACTTTGGCAGTTCAAATTTGTTTTAGTTGACCTGCCATTTCTAAAATATGACTTGCTTTCGGCCAATGGCAGCCCGCTATTTCTGGCCCTGACCCTCAAAAAGATCCTTTTGACCCCCCCCCCCCCACTTAAGTGGTATAATACCTGATGACCCCCTTTTACCATACTATAAATGTTTGTGACCCACCCTCAATTTTTACCCACCCACCCCCTCAATAAATAATGACTGATCCATTAGAAAACAACATCTCTTCAAAGAGCTTATCGAATTTATGCATTTTCTACATATAAAAAATAGGGAACCACCTTGTACCAAATGTAAGTGTAATTAAGCAATAGTGTGTCTGCCAGTCTG